GAGGGCAAGGTCTAGGGATCGAGCCCTGGGATCTGCGTCTGCTACTGCAAAGGTAAAAACCACAAAATTCGCTATGGAATACGAAAATAAAAATAAAAATATAATACTAAATTATGTCATAGTAATCATAGTATCACACCCCTTTAGCCCCCGTAGCCCCTTTGAGCCCTTTTCGAACCCCCCTTATACCCCATACACAGTATTACACACCCTTCGGTGAGATATCACCAAACTCAAAGATAAGGTCAGATTTGGGCTCAGTGGGCGCAAAATTGCCCCACTGCCAAAAAAAATAAAAATTGACCCCTTTTTTGGTGTTGCCCGGGTACCCGGGCAGGTCACCCCCCGTGCAAGTTCGCCCAGGTCGCCCGGCCGGGCGACTCTGGTAACATAGCACTCTACTCACGGAGACAGCCATACCGAGAGCTTGGCAAGGAGGAGAGAAGAAAACGCTCCAACTGTTAAGACACTATGCCCTATGGACTATATGGAAGAGAAGATGTCAAGCCACAATCGAAGGAAGGCCCGTGCACAGGCAGGAGGCAAGAAGCACACTGATCGGCGTACTGGAAACGGACGTCCGTGCGCAATGGAAGAGAACGAGGCAGCGGATGGAGCAAAATGCAGAGAAGGCCAAGGAAATCAAGAGAAGCTTTGAGCAAATCTGCCTCAGCAAAGGGAGATAGCATCAATAGAAGGTCCTAGGCTCATCTTTAAATGGAAAGGGATGCTGGAAGAGCAGCAGGAGCACACATCAACTGGAATACAGTAGGGTGGGCCAGCCGGGGAAGTGGGCTGAGTTCAGCTCGGTCTCAAGAACACAGTGCAGACCTGGTGCAACACTAAAACGGAACACCCCGCCCCCATGGTTTAGGGTTTAGCCGAAAGGTTTGGTACCAGAAAGGGGGTGACAAAATACAAATGGATGTAGGATAGAAGGCAGGTAAGGCTTAGAATAGGCGAAAACAGGCAGAATTCAGCGCAGATTTGGGAAGGAGAGAGAAAAAGGATAGGTAATGGTGGGGAGCATTCTTGATTTATCTCATTCGTGGGATTCCTTTGGGTCCTGTTGAAAAGCTAGACTCTGGGGAAGGTTCCAGGGACCAGGAAAAAGAAGGTGTATAGGGAAGAAAGGACAAGAGCAAGAATTGGAGGATGGAGGGTTAGAGCAAGCGTGAGTTGGTGGAATCTAGATAGAAGGAAGTACAGGTGAGAACACGAGGGTTTAGGGTTTAGGGTTTAGGTTCAAATGGAGGGGAAAGTATAGGATTTACTTTTTGAAAGGGGCATGTCTTCTTCGGTCCCATGGGGTCCCGTAGAAGGACACCACTGGGTAAAGCTCCCAGATCCGGTCTTTATGTGGGGTGGCCGGCCGCCCTCTTTTGCGTAATAAATGAATGGTTTGTTAAAAAAAAAGGAAAAGAAAAGAAAAAAAAGGGCCGCCCTCTTTTGCGTAATAAATGAATGGTTTGTTAAAAAAAAAGAAAAAAAGGGAATGCCCCCAACCGTCTCCAATCCTCCCGAAGGCCAACGAAATAGGTCCAGAGTCCTACTGCATTATTCCATGCTAATATGTTCAGACCATAGGCCTGCTTTGATCACTCAATACCTCTTCCCCATCAAACAACAATAATAACGCACACTTCATGTAGATAAAATAGCACAACATGTGAGGGCCTACTCTCGTGGAGGACACAATGTGCCAATTCAAAAACTGTGGCAGCCTTTCGGCGTTTCACCGCATCGCCCTTCTGCCTTGTCCAGTCAGGCATTCTTCCACGCAATGACCGGCTAATAGAATTACCTCTGTTCTAATTTCTAAAGCTATCCCATCAACAGCCTATTTTCCTATTGCGACAAGTCAGTCAATGCCGCCAAACACACTGCTGCTTCACCGAAGACTCAGCGAAGAGTCAGTATGACCGCAGCTAATACGCGGCCATGATGTGCCTCTAGTGCCAGCGGCGTGTCTGGAGTGTATTTTCTGGCTGTGATAGACCTTTCTTTGTTTCGTGGGTGTTTTGCTGGCTTGTGATGGGGTGTGAACCGACAGTCTGTAGAGTTTTCCATTTCGTGTGGGTGACTGATAGTCTGCTTTGATTTTCGTCACAGGTACCTTTGAAAGGCCTTCCACGATTCAGACCCCAAATTCAGATCTCAGGGTCAGATGCCCAAGTCAAGAAAAGGCCGAGTTCGTCAAAGTTTAACTCAGAAAAGTCACAGTCGGGTACCTCAGCAGTCTGGTCCAACAGGCACCCAGCAAACGGTCACATCTCAGGGACAAGAGTCACGTCCCATGATAAAAAGCCATATAGAAGAGACATCCCACGAGTGAAAAGGCAGATTCATAAGCAAGAGTCGTGTCTCAAAGGCAGGGGTCACGTCTTATAATGAAAAGTCTTACTGAAGAATCACATCCCACGAGTAAAAGGGAAGTTCCACAGGCAAAAGTCCTGTTCCAGAGGGCAGGAGTCACAGTCCACAGTCAAAAGTCATGTTCACAAATGAAAAGTCACGACTCAAAGGCCCAAGCAGCAGCAGACCAAAGGAAATTCGGGAAGGTTCCAGGCCTTGAAATTCAGAAGCAGACAGGCCGTGGGGATGTGGTACCAGAACCAGCCAGGTCCCAGAAAGCAGAGGCTGGCACGAGTTGAAGAGCATTCAAAGACTACGAAAGGACTGGCAGCCTACCATTCGGGCAGATTGCTCATTCGCAAGAAGTGTGGAAGTGCGGGTGCACTTGTGCGCTGATGTGAGGGGCAGAGCGCTGAAGCCAGAGTGCTGCACTAAGAGAGAGAGAGAGAGAGGGAGAGAGAGAGAGAGAGGAAGAAGACAGTGCTGGCAGGGAGAAGGCAGCTATAGCTGCGCCAGCGCAGGGTGTTATTTTTAGCAGTTAGTAGTAGACTTCAGAGGGATTAGTAGAGTTGACAGTGGGTGTATTGAGAGTAGATCTTTGAATAGAAGTTAGTGTGTATGTGCATGCATGTAGGGAGAGAACATACAGCAAGGTCATAGCTAGAGAGACGACCAGCAAGGAGGGGTGATACAACAGAGAGAGAAGAGCAGAGAGGAAGAAGATACTTACCTGGGTGATTATGTTAGATGTTTGGCTACCTATGACATGTGCTGTTGTGCGCCGGTGACTCGGAACTCTTATTGCTCTTGTTATAACTTGTTGGAATTCATAAGCTGCGCTATCTGGTCTTAATCTCTCTGGTCTCCAGTGTGGACTTCGTGTGAACTCATACATGCATATGGTGTGAATATGTGCGCTCATTGGTGTTGAGCTGGGAGGTTCATTGCACCTTGAGGGCAGTGGTTGGTGCCCACCTCAGGATATCAGTCGTCGGGCCCTTATGTATTTTTGAATGGTTGCCAGAGAGCAAAGAGACGGTGGAAAATCCAGACGTCTCAAAGGAAGAACGGATGATGTGGGTCGCCAATTCCGCTGTCCCACCATCTTCCTTTCTAGCTCGGAAAGGTGCATCATGGCGGATATCCACATGCCACACATAGCATCGTCAGTGGTAGGACAGTGAAGTAACCAGGTCCTAGAAGTGGGCTTTGCGAGGAGGAGGAGGAGGAGGAGGGGGAGGAGGAGGAGGAGGAGGAGGAGGAGGAGGAAGAGGAGGAGGGAGTAGCAACCAATTCTGTCCATCACACGGGGACCGGTTACGCAATTTCCAGAAGGGTGGTTGGTTTGGTTTTTTTTTTTTTGGGTATGAAATGTAATGCAAGCTGCCCTCTCCTCATGTGGGGGACAGCTGCATTGTTTTTACCACAGTAACTACACTATATTCTTCTCTCAATATTTTTTATCTCCCACTACCTACCCCGACCTATGTACTTGGGTTTAACTTTTTTTTTTTTTTTTTTTTTTTTGGTTTAACTTTAGGGTCATAGGCTACGGAAAGACGCCAACTGTACTACCCCTTAAGTCTACCAGCTAAGAACTACCAGAAGACCAACCTTAAATCTACTAATAACTAGGACTAAGGTGTCCTAAGGTTATGGGTCTACGCCTACCTACTCTGCTCTGCGCGGGGAGCAGCACCAAGCTCCTAACACCTGGCGTGGGCTGGAAAGCAAGCAACGCAACGTCCACAACCAGCCAGGAGGAACAAGCCGACTTTCTGAGTCCGTGAGCCCGAAGTATGCCACACAGGGGGGTCGTGGGGAGTCGAATGGATGCCGTGCGGAATCGAACCCACGACCTCCTGTGTACCACATACGTTTTTTCTTCTTCTTTCCATTGAAACAGGTCCCTTTTTTTTTTTCTTTTTTTTTCGGTTAACAACAAAGCCCCTTCTATTCTGGCGGGGGGCATCAGTCCGGTTGCTTATCACCGGCAAGCAAGTCTTTTACATCCCTCAATGGAAGGGGCACCTTGTCCGTTCCGGGGAGCGTCAGTCTCATTCCATTCCACCGCCGAGTGATACTTCATATAACCCACTCCACGCTTCTTTTCTGGCCACAGGACCTCTAATCAGCGTGCATTGCTCCGTGGAGGATTCACTGTCAGATAGCCTGTCTTGTTCTTCTATAGTTCCTCTCAATCACAGCAGGGGTGCTGGGACTGCCATATTGGCGTGAAGGAGCAATCAATGCTGGCTATGCAATGCCATCTACTTTTCCACAAGTGTGGTCTTTTCAATGTTTTCATCTTTTTTTTTTTTTTTTTTTTTTTTTTGAGGGGCCATGCTAATGTTCTCTGTATCGTTCCAATTCCAATGGATGTCCCAAAGGACTGGTCCTTTGATCGTTGTTTTCAATTTTTTACCCAGTTCCAAAGTCAGGTGTGGCAGTTAACAGCATCATTTCCTGGGTTATCACAAGAGTCACTTTCTCCCTCCCTCCCTCCCTCCCTCCCTCCTTCCCTCCCCCCTCCCTTCCCATACGATGACCATGCCAATAATATTATGTGCTGAGTTTGCAAGTCTCCCTCGGTCTTGGTGCATGTCGTTTCACCTTCTCTCCGGAATTGATGTGTGGCGTTGCAGATCTTTGTCACCCACGAAAGTTCATGGGTATCCCGACCGGTTCCAGTGGGACAAGCCTTCCTCACCAAAAGCATTTTGGAGACGAAAGGGGTCGGCCGAAGACCAATGGAGCAGTCTTTGGTCAGGCAGCGCGAAGCCGGTGAAACTGCGCGATCTCGCAAAAATTTTGGCAGTCTGCAACTACCCTGGTTATGGCGACGACTTAGCCACCAGCACATCCACACCAGCAGATGGGCAACAGACCTGCGAGGAAGGTGAGACTGCTGTCGGGACCGGCAAAGCAGGCATTCCCAGGCAAGGTGTGCAGTCACTCTCCGATGGTAAGGAGCCTCCTGCTCGTTCAGTGTCCGCCAGGTCCACCTCTGCCGAACCCAGAGATGGCCTCCAGGGCAACGGCGGCGGAAATCACCCTGAAGTTGAATTCTTTTCCGAAAGAAACACAAAGTGCACGCCAACGACTGCTCGACACCCAGACGACCCAAAGGTGCTGAATTCCAGAAGTCAGCAGCACTCAAAAACTGCAATAAACGCTGCTGAAGTCCCCGAGGCAAAGGGAAATCGCGATCCGGCCGTACAAAGCTCGGTCCATGCAAACAGCGTCAGCGTGACAAAGGACAGACTGCCGCGTCCTCACTCTGCTGGCCCTTATCGACCAGCGGATGGCCACACCACCCTCGTGATCAGAAGCGGTTACCAAACACATCGTGATAAGCCGCCGAAAGGTCATCAGAATCTTGCTGGTGGAAAGCCAAACATTTACAGCAAGCACTCTGCCGATTTGAAAGTGGCGTTTCAAAACCTTGGCAAAGCAAACGCTGCGGAGAATGCGAGCCCAGGATGCACGAGTCCCATCATCCATGAGAGTTTGTGGACTTACGTCTGTCGACAAAAGCGAGGATGTATCTGTTGCGGGGTCAGCACATCAACCCTTTCTGCTTTTTTTCTTTCTCAAGTGCTAGCCCATAATATTATTGAATCTACCAGGATTTCAGAGCTCATCGGGTGTTTATTTGACAGCTATATGTGTTTATCAACAGCTATATGTGTTTATCGACAGCTATACTTGTGGACCATTATGTGTTTATCAATAGTTCTATGTGTTTATCAGTAGTTCTATGTGTTTATCAGGATTTGAGAGCTCATCATGTGGTTATCTATATGTGAGCACAAAACGGGTGCACACGGCACACAGACGGAGAGGAAGCAAGCAGGGGAGCAGGGGAGCAGGGGAGCAGGGGAGCAAGGGAGCAAGGGAGCAAGGGAGGGATCAAAGGGGGAGGAGAGAGGAGGGGAGAGATTGGATGGGGAGGGAATGGGGGAAGGTAAGGGATGTGAGGGGAGGGGAGGGGGGGGTATGTGAGGGAAGGGGAGGAGGGGGTATGTGAGGGAAGGGGAGGGGGGGGTGGGGGGGGGGGGGGGAGGGAAGGGGAGGGGGGGGGTATGTGAGGGAGGGGGAGGGGAGCGGTCTGTTACAATGATTTATGCAACAACAGTGCCATAGTCTGATTGATTTTTGCATGAAGGCGATCTGGGCACCTGCAGCTATATTCGAGGACCAAACATATAAAAACAACACTTGCAACCGCACCGTGCGCCGTACCATGCGGTGCACTGCACGGCATGCAACGCGGCACCTGCTCATGCACCGTACCAGCAGCAGTTTCCCTTTTTTTTTTTTTTTTTTTTTGCTGTTTTTGTAGATACAGAGGAGTGCAACACCTGGCCCAAGCGGGCTAGCTCAGTTGGTTGAGCACGTAAGTGGCACTCAGGAGGCCGTGGGTTTGATTCCCGACGTCGTCCTTTCTATTCCCACGGGCCCCTGGGGGTATACTTCCGGTTTTCACCAGCGGAGATTGTCGGCTTTGGGCCTCCTGGCTGGTTAGGGAACGTTGTTCTGGCCTACGCCAGGTGTTAGCAGCCTGGGTACTGCTCCCCGCACTGAGCGGAGGGTGGTAGAAGTCGACCCATAACCGTAGGATACCTTAGTTTAGGTGAGGGTATTTAAAAAAGCGGTTCTTTTCTCCAATTATTAGGCATAGAGAGTAGGTGGTCCATGGCCTCTTGGCCTGCTATCCGCGCTCGGGGTGTCTAGTGCCTGCTGGTCTTGGGTTGTGGTGCCGGGTTGCCTTGGGTGGATATAGGTCACATGCTGAGATGAGCAGGTAGGCAAAAAAAAAAAGTAGGTAGAGTAAGGAAGGCAAGATATTGAGAGAAGAAAATAGGGTAGCTAAATACAGCTGTCCCCCGTATGAAGAGAAGATGGACTGTATTTTATTATTTTATTTTATTTTTTTCAAAAAGAGTGCAACGCGTACGCGTGGCCCCCAAATTAAAATTAAAAAAAA